AAAAATATGTTTTGAATCGTTTTTTGGACAATGGGGCTTTTTTTTTTCACAGGAGACATTTTCACAGCAGGAACAGATTAATGATGGCTGAATTCCATTTAGCTGCTCGGGTTTAAGGGGTGCCGGGGATTGTGCATGTGGGCTCACACTGTCACAGCTTACTGAACAGAACAAAACCATACTTTATGTTATTAGTAACACCTGTGCTTTTCCTGTGATTAAGTCAAAATGTCTGCTTACACAGTGTGGGACAGGAGCATATATAATATAATGACCTTTACATTATATTTGTTGATAATAATACAAAGAAAGAAGGAAAATAATGTCAGTCTTGTCTTTTGAATTAATTATTCTAGACACTGTTTGTTTTCATTTGCTCTTTCTCTTTCTGTAAACCTTAAGAAATGTGCTATATAAATAAAGTTTGTTATTATTATTGCTGGATGTCCATATTAATTACTGCCCACTTCACACTTGGCAATTAGGAGATATCAACTTTTTTTCACAGCAAACATTTCGACAGGAAAAGCACAAATGTTACTAATAACATGAATTACCACTGAACTGGAACACCTACAAGGGATCCAGCCTTAATTAACATAATCAGTTGCACCTACTCTTTTCCTGTCAAAAAAGGATTATTTCCTAATAAAAACAATCTTTTATTACGGGGGAAGTGGAGCGTTTGTTCTGCAAAGTTTGGACGGTTTGTACAAGCAGAGGTGGGGAAAAAAAGAAAAAGAATAGCACACCATCTATAGAGAGAACAACTGATTAACAAAATCCTCAAATCCTGAGAACTTTAGGTTGACTTTTCCTTCCTCAAGCTCCCGGTTTCTCCCTCTTGGGTGCAGAAACACACATGGGAAGTGGACAGAACTGGGACACTGGTATTTTTACAGCAAGATGCTCAGAGGAGTGGGCCTAAAAAAATAAAAGACTCAAGGCACCGACTCTGACCCGAACATTTGGAGAATTAGAGATAAAAAACAGGGAAGCCTGGAAACACTCATTAAGGATCTCACACTGTAGTCTAGGAGTCAAATCCACACAAGGGAGGAAGTCGGGCATGAATGATGCAAGAGGAGAGGACGGGGAGAGAGAGACTGTGATGCTAAAGAGAGGGGATGGAGAATAGAAGAAGAGGAGGAGGAGAAGAGATATGACAGTTGGCAGGAGGGAAGATGGAAGAGGAAAAAGAAAGGGGGCCAGACATGGAGTGTGTCTTGACAGCACGCTGACCCTCTTTATCCTCTTTCTGGTGCCCCGGCTGGCATCACTAGCAGCTGCCACTTCAGCATACTGCAGCATCAGCAATTATAAAGGCTGAGAGAGATTATCTGCTCCATTTGCGGAGGGATGAATCAGACAATAGCTACAGTATCACACAAATAATTGTTGCAGACAAAACAGAAGTGCAACAAATGATGAATAACAAATGCAGAATGTGGGTTGGAGAGCACATTACATGCCACTCAGGCTTATTGTCATCTGTCAAAGCACTTCCAGCTCATTATGCTTAATTAATTTCTAGGATTTGGATAATTGTGCCTCCATTCTCTCCGAGCAGAGTCTCCTCTTGGTTTCTAAATAAAGACGGGAGAGGATTGTGGTTTTGGTGAAACGCTGACTCAAGAGGATGCCAAAAGCCATTTTCATTCTCTCCCACTGATCTTGCAGTGATACAGCTGGGGCGACAGGGCCTGACTCACAGACAAATCAATAGGAACAATGCCCCCTCTTGGCCATTAGACGTTATTACACAGTGGGGAGATGAAGCCTTTACCCTTTGCTGACTTTCTTCTTTTTCTTCATCTTCCTCCAAACCATCCCCTCGAGGAAAAAGTGTTGAAACGGTGAGTCTCCTCATTTACCAGCTCTGGATCCCTGAAACTATAAAGACAATTCAGGATCTCAACGACCAAAATATGACACCAAATACAACAAACATTCATATTAAAGATGATATTTGATTTGTTTCAACTGAGTGGGCTCTTGGTTTACAGTATGTGTACAGTGTGGGGTAATGTTTATAATGTGTGTCTGTATAAATACAAATAAACTTACAAATAAATAAAGTTATAAAAAACACATTTGAAGGAGTTGTGCAGGAAGTACTAAGATCTTTTCAAAATAATATATATATAGTTGCATTAAAATGTTCTTAAAGTACCAAAAGTAAAAGCATTTAAAAAATATGTGTTCATAAATCATATGTATTATATCACTGGATTATAATTAATTATGTGTTAGAATCAATTAAAATGTACAGGTAGCTTAATCCATTATAATACATCATAACATATTAGTTGATTTATATTTATTTATTATATTTATTTTGTATTAATAATCTGAATATGCAAAGTAACTAAAGCTGAAAACAGTTAACTTAGTAGAGTATATAATTAAAGTATAAAGTAACATAAAATGTAAATACAAGTACCTCAACATTGTAGCCTACCTAAGTACTACTAATTAAATAAACTATAATTAATATATACTAATTCATATTTTTAGATTTTATGCACATAAATGCACATTTCAAGCACTTGAAAAGTATTAAAAGAAGGCAGAACAAAGCCAGGCACATTTGAACAACAATTACAGTTATTACAAGCTAACTGAATGTGATTTGAGCTAATATTTTAGGTATTAGTAATTAGTAATAAATTTAAAAGTATTGGACAAATTAAAGCTTAAGTCAATCCATCAATAACTCAGGTTAACAGCGTTATTGATGGATTGATGATTCTGCACGTATTAAAGATCTCCAGTCACTGCTTTTTAATAATAATTTCTGTCTAATATGTTTTTTTTGTTCTTTTTTTACAGAAAAAAGTTAAATTGCATCATTAAAAATTCTTAAAATGACATATATTTTTATTTTCATATATTTTATGACATCATTATTAGGTAAAATGAGATTAAACTAACCATTATAATACAACAATCTTTCAATAAATCCTGAAGGCTGTGATAATAATGATAAAAACAACAACAACAATAATAATAATTGTATTTATAAAGCACTATTCAAGTGCTTAATAAATACACATATTCAGATTAAAAGACATCCAGAACAAAAATTTTAAATCAGGACCCATGTCAGACCCACCTCTCCTATAGCCTATATATATATAAAAAAATATAAAAAACGTTTAGTTGTGTTTAAACTGTTTTAAAACAATAATATTTAGTTGTTTTAGAGCATTTACTTGAATTATATTGCGTTGTACTGAAAGGTTTTTCCATTATTTACTCTGCCCTCATTGATATAAACTGGTTGGACAACATATTAGAGGAACACCTCTCAGTATGGTGCAACATAATTTCACAGCAAACAACAAACTTCATCCTCCAACATGAGTATAAAATCAACACTTCTATGAAATGGGCCTAACCAAAACCCAACCATTATAACCTTCATGAAGGGAGAGTTTACTGCAGCACATTAAGATGAATTACCAGGAGAAAAACCAGCTCAAACACCCACCTACAATGTACAAAAAGCGGAAATAACATGTGTACAAACCTGTCTCGCTCCTGGCTGCAGTTTTCTCAGGCACTTTGAGTCCGTATTGTACGTCCAGTCACTTTCACACAGTCTGCTGCACCACTAGGCTCTGGAGAATCTCGGCACACCTCGGTGTGAAATGCTGCATGTTGCAACTTTCCCTCAGCTCAGCATAATCCTACAGTGATTATCATGCGACAGAGACACAGTGCTGTAAGCTCACAGTGGCACAAAACACCTGGTTCAGTCTCAGCTGCTTCTTCTGGCTTCATATTAAGTAACACCAGTATTCTCATACATTGTACTGATGCTGTCTGATGTGATACATTGATCAAATACCTCCCAAATATGCATGTAATGTCATTTCAGGGATGCTGTTTTACATGGTTTCTAAGCTGATGGGGATACAGTTTCAGGAAGAGTGTACTGGCGCTACTTCACCAACCAACTAGAGCTTAAACCATTAATTGATAAGTTGATCAACAGATAATGAATCATGGATCATTCACTCATTTAAAAGCAAAGATCAAACATGCTCTGACCCTCAAATGTGGGGATTTTTCTGCTTTTGTTTATCATGTAGATGTTACCTTGGGATCTGGTCATTTATAATGGGCATTTTCACAATTTATTTTATATTTCTTTTGGGGCTTTTTGCCCTTCATTGACAGGCCAGCTTGAGATAGACAGGAAACTGGGATAGAGAGAGAGGAAGACACGTAGGACAGCCCAGCATTTTCCACTATTTTATGATATTTTTCACTATTTCTTAGTCAGAAAAAGCCTTTTGTAGATTAACTGAACTTTGTAACAATAGAAAATATAAAAACAGACATAAAGTACAAATGCTTACAGTAGTTAAGTACTTAATTTCCAAATATAAGGTTGGTTTCCTATCAAATTTATTTGGACAGTCCACTCACCAATAGTTTTCCCTTTAAAAGCATGTGATGAAATGCAGTTGAAGTGTACAAAGATTGTATTTTAAAAACCTTAAACTGCTTGAAATACAGTTTCCCTCCTTAGGTAGGTTAGAAAATATCTTGCCTGGCAGTATTATATATGCTGCTTCAGCTCTTTATGAAGTGAAAGCATTTTATTTCAAATACCACAGATGTCTTGTGCATCATTTTGGATAAGTTTCCCCCAAAATGTAACCTGATATATTCGGTGTCTTTATTTGAAACTTGAATTATTAGAATATATAACTCAAAATGAAGTTGGTATAAACAAAGTGGATATTAATGTGGTTGCAGGTGTTATTTAAAGGTCAGGGGGTAAATTCACTGCTTTTGGAGCTGAAACCACCACAAATCAAATAAAAAAAGAGTTTAATATCA